CCCCCCCCCCCCCCCCCCCCGTGACTTGTTCATTGATTTGAACACGGCACAGCCCTTCAGCTGTCAAAATCAGTGGTAGGAGCACATGGCACTCGATCGATTCACCACGTTGTGTTTCGCGCCATTGTGTCTCATTGGTCGGTGTTTTTCATTAATAATTCGTAAACAAAGCCGCAGATTGCATTTTCGCAAAGGAAAAAGTTAATTAGAATGATCTCAGCTATCCCACATTTCCGTAATGCGAGACATTTTTGGGACACCCTGTATATTCGAACCATAGTTTGATGAGGATGGCGTGTTACGCCTCAGTTTCGTCTTTTTGCGTTTCTCGAGAAAGCACAAATGCTCGCAGCGTAATTTAATTAAGTTGATTTAGATGATTTTGAAACAAGCGTGATGCTCGCTTATATTCTCTGTGATCAAATACCTCTCTGCTGCATCGATTGTTGTAAGCGATCGAAAATCGACTGGTTACTTAGGTTGAAGGATCACCGGTTCTGCCATACGTACAGAGTACAGTAAATTTTCGTTAACATTGCCTAAAGAAGTTAGATAATGTAAGTTGATGTGGTCAGTTTGGTAATGTTAGATTATTTGATACATGAAGTGTTAAAATCATATTTATCTTGTGGCAAAAAAGGGAAAATAAAAAATTTGGCATAATTAGGACAATACTTTCGGACATCAAATGAGGCGTGTCCATGCATGTATTGAAATAGTATAAAACAAGTTAACAAGGATAGTCTTAATTAACCAATCGATTTCATTCTGGTCGTAGTAGATAAGGAAACGTAGATCTCGTGAAAATACTGAAGCATCTGTTACCAAAGCGGATTCATACTTGTACGGCTTGAGCCTAAATTCGTAGTAACAAAATTTTCAAAGAATTTATATGGCACAAGGAGACTGAATAACTACATCTTGTTTGATAAAAAATATGTCTGTCGATGCGGTCATCTTTGGGAACTCATGCTTCACGTTGTTATTAACGTGGATGCTTCTCTATTTAATTCATTATCTATTTCTTCAAAGAGAAGACCTTGGTCCACCCTGTCTGTATTTCTTTAGATTCATAACTGGCCTGCAGATCTTTACACTAATTTCTATTTTCATGTTGAACTGTAGATAATCAAATTTTGTTAATACATCTAGTTTCTTGTGCTTTGCAAATTGACACGTGCCATAAATCTGCGGTCTACTCGTAATATATGAGTAACAGGAAAGTGGTGGGCGGTTATCGTGACTATTGGTGAGTCTTAGATCTATCTTTCGAAAAACAGACCATAGGACTTTGTGACAGCATAAGCGTGAGACTTCTCGTAGTTCTTGATTTTTCCGTTTAAAACAGACACCGTAAGTTTAATGCTAGAACTATCAAGAACATTTTTATAATTTCAGTAATTGTAATAGGAAAAGATAGGAACAACTTATTTTGATCTGTCTGGTAGTTCTAGTGTTAAGAAGCTTCTATGTATTGGAATCGTAGAACAAAGCATATTATTTTATGATACTTTACGGACACGCTATGTACAGAGAGAAGTTTCTAAGAGTTTCATATTAAAAGTACTTGCGGTACAATTACCGAACAATAGAACGAGGAAATTATAATGTACAAAGAAAAAGACAGAAATGTTATATTAACCCTCTGCGTTCTATGACGTAACAAAGTATAGCAACTGGAATAAACAACAGGTAATAATTCGAAATTTAGTTGTTAATTATTTTTTTATAATACTGAGAACCAAATCATTAATAATTAAGTGATTTTACAGTGTATTTCTATATTCCTGAGCAAGAGCGCACTCGTTGAAACTAAACTAGAATACAGAGGGTTAAACTAATTAGTGCCTTATATTAGGCTCGGTTCTTGATGATTTTTCTATATCTTCTAGCACAGAAGTTTGTTTCGGGCGCGACGAACGCACTTAGTTTATTTAGTACTTACGTTCTCATTATCTCATCATTACTTCGATTATAGTATTAATCACTGATCGCTGGCAGTTCATTGAGAGTTGTTAAGTAAGAAAACGAAGGCATTTCGTTTGCTACGAAGCTGTAATTCTGTTTCTGTTTTGCAATTAGGTAATTCCACTCGTAATATACAAATACAGAGACACGTACGTTCATACACACTAAAAGCGAAGAGACGATCCTTTGCCATGATCGTAATTGTAATTATTTTTGTACTACTCCCGTTTGGACAGGATAAGACACATAGTTCTTCTTGCTCATCGCTAGTCTGTGGATCTATACGAATTACAGCATTTGTAACTCTGTTGATTATAAGAAAATGTTTATTCTGACGAACATTAATATTGAAGTATACGAAACAAATTATTTCCTCATTTATTACTTGTAACATGACCGATGAAAATAGAAGTTTCTACAAAGATCCGCAGGCTACTCATTATTTATAAGTACTTTAAGTTTCATATGAGTACTTAATAGCCTGTAGAAGATGAACAATGAGAATGATGTAAGTTATGCCATGACACAAATTGATGTGGAATCAATTCCTCGCACTGATATGTGTACAAACTAAATATGAATTGTACGCGTAGCGAGAACGTTCAGTGTTCCTTTGATATTTTTTGATAGATTCAATGTGATTCAGCAAACAAATAGTCTCATTCAAAACTATGACTGTCTATGTGTACTTTTTTTCTGGCTGAATTTGGAATTTCTAACTGAAAAAACGATCATAATAGAAAAAATCGGCACACTCCAGTCACCAAAAGGCACTCACTGTAGACCTATGTCTCGATG